CTTACATGCACCATATTCTCGAACCCTGTAAGACTGGTCCAGCAGGGGCGGAGGAATCTTTATGCTCCCCATGGCAGGCAATCTACATTTTTGGCTGGTGTCGACAAATTCGGCAGGCAGCCAAAAGCAAAAAAAGAACCCCTATAGGATCTGTTCATACACCATCACCATGTCTCATTCAACTGTAACATTAGTATTTGTACGGTGCTTTCAGCCGCTTAAAGTACTTAAAGTTCTTGTATCTAATAGCCAAGGGTGGCCCCGTGCAAATCAAAGAATCTGCACCATGGGGTCAGCCAGAGCGCAGACGTAGCTTTGTGCAAGCCCCACGTTTCTAGAACAAAACTACGGTAAAGGCTATATCTATGCACATGCAGGGGGGAAACGTCAAAATTTAGGGAGCTTTTTGGGTGGTATTTGTGTCCTGTTACCTACCTTGCAGTTACCTACCTGCGGTGGCTCAAGTGGTTAAGACGCTGAACTGCAGGCTATGGAAGGTCGGTAGTTCAGCAGTTCGAGACCCGGGTGCCGCATGACGGAGTGAGCTCCCGTCTCTAGTTCCAGCTCCTGCCAACCTAGCAGTTCGAAAGCAAGAAATTGCAAGTAGATAAATAGATACCACTTCGGTGGGAAGGTAACAGCGTTCCGTGCGCCATGGTGTTTAGTCATGCCGGCCACATGACCACGGAAACGTCTTCGGACAGCGCTGGCTCTTCAGCTTTGAAATGGAGATGAGCACCGCAACCCTAGAGTCGGATTCGACTGGCTTTCGAGCAAGGGAACCTTTACCTTTACCTACCTTGCAGTGTTGTTACAAAGACAGGAGAGAGCCACACGCACCAACCCTGAGCATCTTGGGGAAGGGCATGGGGGGGCTGGCTGCAAGGGGGTAGGGAATGGCTATGGGGCACAGGGAAAGCAGCAGCTGGTGAAAGGAGTCGGAAGGAAGTGGAGTCGGCTTGGGTTTGGGGAGGGACAGCTAGAAGACAGAGCAAGCAGGGTGGAAGGGAAGTGGAGGCAAAGGTGAGGGGGAGCAAAGTGGGGAGCAGGGGATCTAGCAGGGGTAAGGCTAAGGAAGGTAGGAAAAGCTGGAGCTGACTGGGGGAGCCAGAACAGAGAGGAGGGTTGGCAGGTAATGACAGGGGATTCCCCCCTACCCTGTGACTCCTTGCCAGTCCCCTGCTTACAAAAACTCTGTGACAATTCTGTAAAGCAGATTAGTAGTGTTGTTGAGGCTGAGAGAAGAGAGAGGAAGAGAGACTGGATTTATACCCTGCCCTTCACTACCCAAAGGAGTCTCAGAGCAGCTTACAGTCTCCTTCCCCTTCCCCTCCCCACAACAGACACCCTGTGTGGTAGGTGGGGCTGAGAAAGCTCTCTCAAGAACTGCCCTTGAGAGAAGAGCTCTGAGAGAACTTGTGGCTGACCCAAGGTCCCAACAGCAGCTGCATGTGGAGGAGTGGGGAATCAAACCTGGTTCTCCCAGATTAGAGTCCACGCTCCTAACCGCTACACCAAACTGGGGGTATGTTTATAGCTGGCTAGAAAGTTCAGGATAAAGGCGAGATGCAAGCCAGCTACTACTTCCCAATATGTAGTTTGTTCTCATAGCCGTTGCCTCCCTTGTATGCTCAGCCTTGTACTCCCTTGTATGTTCAGCCTAATACGGGGCTAGAGCTGCTAATACACAAAGCAATCTGTCTTTATTTGATAATATCCCTGTTACATGATAATTAGAGGTTTTGTGTATATTAATCTATCTATTCTCTTGGTGTTGACTTTTAAAGGGAGGAAAGTTCCTTAAGGTTTGCATTAACAATAATTTTAGGAGCATTTCTTTCCTCCCCGCCCTCCAAATCCAGCCCCAAGCGTCATCTATAATATTACATCCTAGCCCCCCTCCTCCCAGTTTCGGTTAAAATTATTATCTTTAATATCCAGCTCTGTGTATGTTTGGCAATAATCCCCTCCTGGTTGTTTGCAGTTATTAGATTTTCAGCATCCCGTCTTTCTTCAAGGGGCCCATATTTTCTCATTAACTTATTTAAGAGCCTAATTTGAAAGTATTGAGAGCGCAAGAATCTCTCCGGTTCTGCGGGGATTCTAAAAGCCTAGAGAGGGAAACAAGAAATGTCTAGGATGTTTTTGGGAAACCAGAACAATTACCTCCTATGTGACTTGGCTGTCAAGGAATGTCCTGTGAGAAGTGAAAACCACGTGGAGAATGCACCAAATCTACGGGACTGGAGCTCAGTGGGTAGAGCCCATCCCCAAGGTTCAGCTCCTGCTATCTTTCAGCTTTAAAATGAATTTGAGTGGTAGACCTAGGAAAAATCCCTGCAAAAGTTACACTCCAGGGCCATTCAGAGTAGACAGTACTGAGCTAGGGCCCCAGTGGTCTGATTCTAAGACACCTGCATGCCTACTTTATGAACATATAAATCTGGGCTGAGTCCTCAGGTGTACCAGACGCACAATTCTCCTCTCACCCTGGCACAAGCAATTGGATCACACTTGAAGCTGCCGTATACTGAATCAGGCCATTGGTCCATCATGGTCAAGTGTTGTCCACTCGGACTGGCAGCAGTTTGCCAGGGGTCTCGGGCTGAGGACTTTGACATCCCCTACAACCTGGTCCTTTCAGCTGGGTTTCAACCTAGCACCTTCTGGATGCAAAGCAGATGCTCTGTTACTGAGCCACAGCCCCTCCCCAAAGAGGGGAGGGCAAGGGCGACAGGATCGTGGCCAGGAGAGTGCAATTGGGAGAGCCTGGAAGGGTGTTCAGAGCCTTGAGCCAGACTCCCCTCTAAGCAACTGGGGGGGGGGATCCAGAGTGTCGCTGAATCCCAAGGGGAATACATCTGGTTATCTTAGGCCAGAGGTCCATCGCACAGTATGGTGCCTAGAGTGTTGCTTTAGAAACAGGGAGAGCTGGAATCCTCACATGGCCATGAAGTTCACATAGCCTTGGGCTCGCTCTCTTGGCCTTATTTACCTCGCAGGGTTGTATTGAAGGTGAAACAGAGGAAGGGGAAACCCACAATGCGCTAACCCTGAGCTCCTTGGAGGAGGGACAGAATAGAAATGCAACAGGGTCCTCCTGCCCAGATAGCTGCTTAGCTCTAGCAAAGTCCCGTGCTCTCAAGATCAGCACCTTCGGTCTGATAGTTTGCTAAGGTCATCCCAGTGAATTCATAGCACAGCTCATTCTCTACTATGTGAAATCAACTCATGGTACCTTCTTGAGTTAGTGAGTTAAGGTGCGTCTCTCTCCTGTGCTTTCTCCCTACTTTCTCATTAATATAATCCCTCTTATATTCTTTGTCTGTCTGCCTCTGCATCTCTGGTTCATGCTGTGTGTACTAAGCCACCCATCCTTCCAGCAAATAAGCACCTAATAATTTAGAGGCGAGCCTATCTAGTTCTGGGCTATTGAAAACTCCCTGCTCAGGTATGTCTAACCAGGGAGACAAAAATTGATGCACCTACTTCTTAGAGCAGGTATTGGTGATTCAGCTGAACTGTTGGCAGAATGCTATTTTGACATCCAACCAGAGACTGAATCTGGGGCCTCCAGTGTGCAAAGCATGTTCTCTGCCCCTGAAATGTAAACCTTCATCATGGAGCTGCGGTGGCTCAAGTGGTTAAGACGCTGAACTGCAGGCTGTGGATGGTCAGTAGTTCAGCAGTTCGAGACCCGGGTGCCGCATGATGGAGTGAGCGCCAATCTCTAGTTCCAGCTCCTGCCAACCTAGCAGTTCGAAAGCAAGAAATTGCAAGTAGATAAATAGGTACCACTTCGATGGGAAGGTAACAGCGTTCCGTGCGCCTTGGTGTTTAGCCATGCCGGCCACATGACCACGGAAACGTCTTCGGACAGCGCTGGCTCTTCGGCTTTGAAACGGAGATGAGCCCCGCAACCCTAGATTCGACTGGCTTTTGAGCAAGGGAACCTTTACCTTTGACATAATGGATTATGCTGGCTGGATTTTATGGATGTAAATTGTTTCTTTATTCTTCCAGTATTTTCTTTTCACATTTTTCAGGGCTCCCACAATACTAGTCTTTTTCACAGATTTAGTGCACACGTGGTCACTGTACTTGCATTGATTGTGCATGTACTATGTGTTGAGTCCTTCTCACAACTGTGTTATGTGCCGTCAAGTCATTTCCATCTTATGGCAGCCCTATTAATTAATTAATTAATTACTCGGGTATTGCAAACTGATTCACAGCTGTATGTGCATTAATTTCACACACATACATCAGTATGCGCAATATGGATCCAGGTCTTTGAGGGCACTGGTCCCCAGGTACAAAAGCAAAATGGATGTGAATGCAGATATTTGTTTGAAAAAATCCCACACACCTAAAACATGAATTATGTGTGTACTAGAAATAATGCCCGTTGCGGAAATAAATACAACGGGATCTAGAAAGAGGCTCTGGGAGAGTGCTCTGGCTTTGGGCAAACAGTGTCAGTTTCCTGTGGCGACCTCAGCAGGGTTTAATGACAGAGTCCACTGTTTTCTCCAGAGGGACTGATCTCTGCTACCTGAAGAGCATTTGTATGTTTGAGTTATCTGTAGCCCTCACCTGGAGAGTGGTAACCATTGTTACCCATTCTCCTCTCCCCTATGAGGTATGTTATGCAACTGAAAATCCCAACTGCCTTGCAGGGGGGGGGGGGAGTTTGAGGTGTGGAATGGACTGAAGTCCAATCAGCTTCCATATGCAAAAGACCAGGTTGTCGCAGCAGTTGTGGTGTGGGCGGGACCCGGGCTTTGCCTTCTGATTGGTGGCGATATATGCTGAGGAGCAGTGCCATCAGCCATACACTAAGGGAGTGCATTTTAGAATTAGAACTTTGGCACCCACTATTCAATTATATATAAGGAGAGATACCATGTTGGAACATTCTAAAATGTGAAGTGGTCTTGTTTAACCTGGGTTGGTACAGGTACAGATGGACTCAACATCTGTTTGTTTGGGTTTTTTAGGTGATAAAGTGAAAGGGGAAAGGAAGAGAAGGTGGAGATGGAACTGCCAAATCATGCCAAACAACTGCTTCTGCAGCTGAATCAGCAACGAGCCAAAGGTTTCCTCTGTGACGTGATCATCGTCGTTGAAAATGCCCTCTTTCGCGCCCACAAGAACATCCTGGCAGCCAGCAGCATGTATTTCAAATCCCTCGTCCTGCACGACAACCTGATAAATTTAGATACGGACATGGTCAACCCCACCGTGTTCCGTCAGATCTTGGACTTTATTTATACTGGGAAGCTCTTAATGACTGACCAGCCCGGTGAACAGAACTTTAATGCTCTCCTCACCGCAGCAAGCTACCTCCAACTACATGACCTAGCAGCCCTTTGCCGAAAGAAGCTGAAACGCAACGGGAGGTCTTTCGCTGGCAGGGCCGGCGGCGCCCCCAGTGTTGGGAGACCCCCGCGGAGTCAGAGACTTTCCACTGCTTCAGTCATAACTCGTTATTCAGGGTCAACTGAGGGGATGAAGGGCTCTCACTCAAAGGAGATGCCAAAGGGAAAGATCTCAGATGATGAGGTCTTCATCAGCAGTTCCAACCAAGAGAACTCTCATGCTTTGAATAGGGGGATTGGTAAGAACGGCGGAGACGGGAGCAGTAGCAGTGCTAACGGGAGCAGTGGAGACCAGGAGCTTGGCCTTGATCTGTCGAAGAAAAGCCCCTCGCTCCCTACGGCAGCATCCTTGGATGACATGCAGCACAGCGAAAGCCAGCGTGGTTCCCCCCGACCTGCCTCCGCCCCCGCAGCCAACAGTGCCTCATTGTTCGACGAGTCCGCCGCTGGAGCCCCACCAAACCTAGCTGACAACTGCGAACCCATGGAAATGGACCTGAGCGAGGACCGCCAGTCCCTCCCGGAAGGCAACCAGCGGAAGAGCCTGCGTCACTCATCGCGCAAGAAGGAGTGGATCAAGAAGGACAATGCCTTTGACAGGAAAGAAGGTGGCAAAGGTACGGAAGAAAGCGAGGGGCTCCCCAATGGTATTCTGATGGGTCCCTTGTGTAAGTCAGCGGAGCGGAATCTGGGACTGGGCGCCTACGGGACAGAACTGCCATTTCCATGCAAGGAGGAAGTGGAGAACGGCAAGGAGAACAGTGACGAGAGCGGGCAGAGTGAAAGCGAGAGCGGCGGGCACACCAGCGCCAACTACGTCTACCGGCAGGAAGGCTACGAGCCAGTGGCCTTCGGGGACAACCTCTACGTCTGCATCCCTTGCGGAAAGGGCTTCCCCAGCTCCGAGCAACTAAACGCCCACGTGGAAACACACACAGAGGAAGATCTCTACATCAAAGAAGAAGGCACGTATGACGATAAGGAGGAGGAAGCGGAGGATCTGTCCAATCCCAACCAGCCCTACACCTCAGAATCCCGGCCCTTCAAATGTTCCGTGTGCGAGAAGAGCTACAAAGATCCGGCCACTCTCCGGCAGCATGAGAAGACTCACTGGCTGACGCGACCTTTCCCTTGCAATATCTGCGGCAAGATGTTCACCCAGCGGGGCACCATGACGCGGCACATGCGCAGCCACTTGGGCCTCAAGCCCTTTGCTTGCGAGGAGTGTGGGATGCGCTTTACCCGGCAGTACCGACTGACAGAGCATATGCGTGTCCACTCAGGGGAAAAGCCCTACGAATGTCAACTGTGCGGCGGGAAGTTTACCCAACAGCGAAACCTCATCAGCCACCTGCGGATGCATAGCTCTCCTACATAAGCCAAAGACTCTGCAATGAGTTCTCAGCCCCCCCGCCATGAACATACCTTTCCCTAGACTTGCTGCTTTAAAACAAAATTATATATATATATAAAAATATATATATGTGGGCCATTCCCTTCCCTCTTCAGTCATGGGAGGCCTCAACCAAACAGAGCTTTATTTCTCCCCCTTCCAAAAAAAACCCCCAAACCAGTCCACATTGAAGCTGCTGCCTCTCCCCCCATTTTACACTTTCTTTGTCTAATAGGTCAGATTGTAGCCAGAAATGCCACTATTCAGCTAGGCTGTGTGGGGATATATAGTTTAACTGTGAGCCCTGTTGTGGGGGTGTGAAAGTTGGTGTCCTTCCAGGCTGATAGGAATCGGAAATGTGGAGAAAAGGCTGATCTTTGGCAGGAAGAACAGGCCTTGCCGCTTCTCCTCCCTCAGTTTACTTCCTTAGCACTTTGGTATTTGCTTTACAAACGCCCCAATTTCCCCCCCCCCCCCTTGCGCTAAGAACACGCACAGACTTGGCCTATCCTGTGGCTGCAACCATTAGCTGTGGGCCTTCATTCCCTTCCTGCTCTAACTATTGGACGTGAATTGTTTGTCCGTGAAAGCGATCGTCATGAGGGCATTTCCTGTCAGCAGAATGCCACTTAAGGTTTTTCTTTTTTTAAGTACCCTTTCCATGATTCCTTGTGGAAATTTGGCATAAAGGAGGATAGAAGCCATGGCTGTCAGCTGACATAGGTGGAAGTTCTGGTAATTGGATCTGTTGGCCTTCTCTATTGACCTGAGAGGGCAAAAAGATTCTACCTTTGTGTGTGGGGGGGTTGCTTTTGGGATTTTTTGCATGCTATAAAAGGAGTGCTTTCAAAATAGGAAGGCGGCAGTGTGTTTTGTTTTTCCTCCCACCCACCCACCCACCCCCCAATACTGGGAGTTCTGCTTTCAGCCTGGGTTAAATTTCTCCAAACACGGAACAGTTTCCCCAACTTCTCCATTTTAACCTCTTCAGCCTTATCCATGACTGAATGGGGGGCTGGGTGCCCGGGGAATTTCTTTCAGTGAATAGGGGTCGGTCATCTTTCCTTTTCCTCCCTCCCCGCTAGTTTTGTATGAATATTCTTTGCATAGAGGTACTTTTTTGTTAAGAGAAAAAAGAACTGTTAACGTTTCTGTAATTGTTGGAACTGGAAGGTTTGCGGTTACTCTTTGGAGCAGGTGGGGCGTGGGTTTTGTTGTAGGCTGGAATTGCTACAAGTTCCTTTAGGTACCTTTAAAAAAAAATTATTTGCGTGTGCGTGTGGATGTGTGTGTAGCTTCTTCTCCCTCACTAAAGAACGAGATGGTCTGAATAGGCTCGTTACTTTTGCTACCTCTTGAATTCATGAGAACAATAAGATGGTTAGTAAAATATTAGGTGTGTGGTATTTGTTTGTCCCCCACCCCACCCCAAATGTAAGCAAGTGTATAAAGTAGAAATTAAATTAAAAAATTAAGGGATTTTTACCACCTCCGTCCTGCCATCAGGAAGTCAGCTAAAATGATCGGCCAAAGACGATAGCTGTTTGTTTGTTTTTTCAAAGCCAGAGGCCCAGGTGAGTAGTTCTATAAAGGGTCACTGACACACCAAATTTCTGATTTTTCTATCCCGGTAGAATGTCTCTCTTTTTTTTTACAAAATAATGGGACAGAATTTCCTTTGAAAAGAGAGCAGTTGTGTTCATTCCAACTTTGTTTATTGAACCTGGTTGCTACTGGAGGGTGTGTGTGTGTGTGTGTGTGGATTGGGGAGGGGGGAGAGGCACAAGTCTCTTATCCTTGGCTTTCCCAAAGGCATGTGGCTTAGTATGCTGTCACGGGGACACAATGAAAGAATCCTGATGAGGCAGGCAGTGTTACTGGAATCCAGAGTGCAATATGGGGTGGAAACCAAGCCAAAGTGTTTCATATCCTCCCTTGTGTTGTTGCTGGGGGTGGGGCGTGTTGGGATTTTTTGTCTGCAGGAAACCTTGACCCAGGCATACTTAACTTGGAAAAATGGAAGCAAATGTCTCGCCACATCTCTATAAGACATCAGAGCCAGCAGCGGCTATAGGATGAGATGGAAAGGACAGGGTATCACCTGCCATTTTGTGGTCCCTTGACTATGTTGGCGTGACCTTGTTAGTTTTATTTTAATTTTAGGGGTTTTTTTGTGGGGGTGAAATGCAATTACTTCTTTTTCTCAATGGGCAGAATACGGTGGTAAAAATCCCTGGCCCCTTTTTCTTAGGATCATCCCTGCCTAAATTGAGTAAGGTTTACATTTTTTTCCTTTTGCTTTAACTTTCCTGCTCAAAACCATTGTTCTTTATTATTATTATTATTGTTGTTATTAATATTATTAATATTATTATTGGTAGGGTTTGCCCAAGCCCTGTGTCTTTTTTTCTTTTAAGAAAAAAGGAAGAAAAAAAAAACATTTGTCTTTTAAGTTTAGACCAAAAAAGTGAGCACGTTCAATTAAAACAAAGATAAGCTTCCTTTTCTCCCTCTCCCTACATAATCTTTTTTTTTTCCTGTTAAGAAATAGGCTAGCCTGTAAAAATTGTTTTGGGTCACTTTGAATGAACTGAAAAAACTGGAGTCCAGGCTCCATGCAATACAGATTTAAACCTAACCATATTGAGCCTAGTCAAGTTACAGGGAACACATGCCCCCCTCACCCATACGGCCTCGGCCACATTTATGACCCCACCTGGGGGGCCACTTCCACTTCCGTTCATCCCTTCTTGTTTGAGTGACACAGTTACCTTTTGTTCTGTGTGTCACTAACAGAGCATTGACTTTGATAGGGTATTTTCCTCCCTCCCCCCAATAGCAAGATGCTGTTACTTTTAGTGTCTTGTACAGTTTGGGAGGCAATTAATACATCCTACCAACCTTCACCCTGAACCACAGTACATCTGGATTGGGGAGCTGCCCTCTTGGTGTGCTCCAAGCTACTTTCTCCTATGATATGAATGGGAAAACTATAGTCGGGTCTTGATGCTCTGTTGAAATTAAGAAGCCCTCCTCAGAAGTGGTTCCTACATTGTAGTGCATGGGTTATACCAAGCGCCAGTGACATTTGTTTGAATGCGGGATTCTGTGGGGGTCTTGGACAACCACTGTTGAAGTTTCATAGGAGATAACTTCTGGTGCATTGCACTCTTTGCCAAAATAGTAACCCCAAATTAGGAGCTGTGAAATAGAATGCTAGCATCAGTAGGCATTTTTCTGTTTTGTTTTTGTTTTGGCTGGAGCTCAGGGGTACTGATGTGAAACTGAGTTGATGAACTATTTAAATTATCAGGGTTTGGTTCCCCCCACTGCTCAGTCCCAGATTTATCTGACTTTTGAGATGCCTTCGAAGCAAACTTCTGACTAACTTCTGGTATCAGTTGAGACTTGCTCTGCTGTATTCCAATCTTTGCCATCCCTTTTGATAAAAGCAGGGCAACACCAAACCCTTCCTTTCCCCAGACTCTCCACCCTTCTGTTGCTATCACAAAGCAATAGCAATTGTCTCCATTCCATGCGCTTGTGTGAAGGGTCCCCTTGTGCGCCATCCCCACTACCGTCTGACTGGAATAGACCATGTTTAACCATTAGTGTGACCAAGCCCAGAGAGTGGCAGAAGAGGCCCAAGTTAAGACATGCTCTGTTAGGGCATAATATAGACCTTTTGCTGAGCCAAGATGGCGGGTGAATACCAAGTGATAGCTTAACCTCAACAGAGGCATACAACCACATAGGCAGCTGGCCTTTTGTGGCATCCATTTGGCTAATGAGGCAGATTTTGCCATTCCTGCCTTCTTAGTTGGATGTGGCAGATGTGGGGCAGAATTACCATAGATGCCACAGGAACAGATGCTTCTGTGTTCCTCATGGTAAGTTACCACTTGGTAAACACCAATCTGCATTTCTCCAAAGAGGAGCGCAAAGGTGTAGGTGTAGTACAAAGAGTAAAACTATACCTTGATTCCCTCAGAATTTTTATTAGACTCAATAGTTGGGTGTGATGAGGGGGTGATGGTGGAGGTGTTAGGATTGATTTTTTTTGTTTGTTTGTTTTGGGTTGAAGTTTTGGAGTCTTCAAGTTTCAGAACCTTTTTTCTTTTAAAAAAAATGGAGCCTCCTTTTATTTTATTTTTTCCCCTCAGCACTTAAACAATACGACAAAAAGTCTGTGTACAGCGCAAGTATTGTACAAAAATGAAAAAGTTTCCTTTTTTCTGCAACAAATAGCTGTAGAACTGTGTTCCATATGTGAATTATGACTTTTTTTTCCAAATTGTGACAATAATAATGAAAACCTAATAATACTCAAAACTTCAGGGACTGTTCAGGGCCCATTTGAAGGGCCTGGACACTCAACTGCATTTGTACGACATAGTATTGTATCAGGCATTTTCTGTATTTTAATGAAAAAAGCAAAAACACTAGTTTCATATTTAAGATTTTAAGAGTTCTAAGGTGGGGTGGGGAGGGAATTACTTTTTTTTGGTTTGGTGTTTTGTTTTGTTTTTGTTTTTTTAATTTTCTCTCTCTCTTTCTCTCTCTCTCTTTTGGAGATACACAAAGAGCCTCATGAGGAATTTTTTAAAAGGTGTAAAAAATAAAAAGCAGAGGCCAGGCAGCTTAACGATATATATATGCTTTAGTCCATTAGATCCAGAATGTTTTCGGAGTAACAGGAGAGGAAAATAAAGAGTTAAAGTAGCAAAAAAAAATGTATTAAAATAGCTCATACCCAAATTCACAAACTATTTTTTAAACCAAAGCACATTTTGAATGAATATGGAAACCTCACTTGGCTCAGAAAAAAAAATTAATATATTTATCTCATTGTTTACATAAACTTTTACAGTTTCAGACCTCAACAGATCTGGGGCCAGTCAAAATTAATTGTTGCCTTTTTCCATTGGTTTACTGTCGAAAAGCTGTTGAAATTAGAACTACTGGTTTTTACTTCCCCCCCCCCC